TTACTTGGAATAATTGACTTAGATGCACAGATGGCAGTAGATGATTATCACTCAACATGGTCAAGTAACGTAACATATTTAGTACTCGTTACAATAAAATTAATAAAACAAACATGATATTTTAAACTAGCAATATACATAACCATCCAAACAAGGTGCAAAGGTGGCAGCACATCGTAGATCACATGTAGTGCTCTCAAAATGGACCACTAATTGGTAACCACCCAATTAAAGCATATGTCCCAACTCATGCATAGCCACAATGTTGGACAACCATTTCCAATAAGAAACGGAAGTGCATAAAATATTCTTAGAGAACTACTCCTCTATGAGTTGTCAGAAGCAGATGTAGCCTGGAATGCTCATTTCATTTGATTTGATTTGATAATGACATTATATAAAAGAATTACTAAAGATATTATAACAAATAATAGATAGATATACATAATTTTCATAAAAGGGAAAAAGATAAATACAAGGAAATTTTACATAAATCTCACTAGTTTAGGAGCTAATTACTTAGATATAGTATAATTTGCAATATTACATATTTTATCAAATTTTGGATTATTCAGATACGTCCACATACATGTATCTGAAATATATGAGGTCAAAATTAGGTGTAACATTGTATCCACATAGATTCACATATATATGAGATACATAATAAATCTCGCTCGCCTCCCTCAATTCTCTCCCTCCCCATCTTGCTCGCCTCTCTCCCTATGTGTATATAGTAGCAAAAATACATATATCTAAATGTATTTTTCCTCAATACATGGTAGGAAACTCTTAATTAGTAGTAAGATACGCAACACTTTGAAAGTATATATAATAACATTACATATATTTAATTATGTAGTTTTTCCATAAATTTATCCTTAATTTTGTGATTAGAGGTATGATAGCAGATCATTAGTAGCGGGTGGGGGTTTCCAAGAACCAACGCATGTTACGATAGATAGATAATTATAATGAAAATTATATTAAGATACCTTCTTATAGGAACTCATAACAAAATGGTTAGGCCGGTTTCATGGCAAGGAAAGGGATCTTTTCCTTTTTTTTTTTTAGAAAAAACAAAGTAACAAAGTAAACTAAATAGGATCAGTCAATAAAATATTACTTTATTTTTTATTGATTATTATTATATATTAATCTATTTATTGGACTCATAAGTTTAAAATTTTAAAGTTGCCTAAAATATATTCCTCGTTAAAAAATAGTGCATATATATAAATATGTATGTATGTATCCTCACCGTCTAGCAAATAGAAACATATTTACTTGCTAAAAGACTTATATTTACTACATTAAGAAAGAAATAAAAAAATAGTATTTTTTTAAATCACGTGATATTGTTAAGATTAAAAAATTAATAGTATTGGGATTTTTTTTGATCGAGTAGTATGAGTGTGTTAACAAAAAGGGTAAGTATGTTCTATCTTTTTTTTGGTAACTAGCTTTCTATTAATCACCAAAAGAACATTACAAATCTTAGCATGCTACATCACAGAAATGCTATCCTTAATCAAACCACAAGATGCCTAGAAAATAAAACTATGTATTAGACTACTTATTCTGGGGGGGCTCTTACTCAACTTACATATACAATCTCTTTAGCTATAGTTTCCCACTGTTGCCGTCTTGTTTCAAAAGTTCTCCGATTTCTTTCATTCCATATCCCATATGTGATTTCTGCATAAATCATCTTGAACACCTGCGCCTCCTTAGATTTCCCTTTTCCGTTGTTGATAGTCCATTGTATGTGTTGCTCCCATGTAATAGCATTATACATTGGTCTGCTCATCCATCTTAGGATTCTATCCCACAATCTTCTCACATAAGTACATTGCACAAAGAGGTGTTCCCTCGATTCCTCCTGCAATTGGCATATGCAACATGTTTTCTCTACATTCAGACACCATTTGCTCAGTCTATCAGTTGTCAACATCTTTCCATGAAGTTGAATCCATGTTGTGAATTTTGATTTTGGTCTGGCAACATTCATATACATTAGACATTTCCATGGCACCTTAGGTTTACCTTGTAACATATTGTTGTAGAGCTGTCTTATCACACTTTTCTCTGGATTGATAGTAGGAAATTGAGAGATAACAATCCTTGCCTCCAATATTTTCCTAATCATCCAGCATGCCTACTTTGGTACTTGAATATTATCTCCTTGTTCTCCTTTTATGTAGTATGTATGTATCCATCGAATCCACAGCTTGTCAACTTTGTTCTCCACATCCCAATAGTTCTTAGCTATAACAGCCTTGTTCCAGATTCTCAGATTAGTTAGGTTCAGACCTCCCACATACTTGGGTGAGCATAGTGTTTCCCACGCCACTAGAGCTTTTTTGGTAATGGTATTGCTTCCTGACCAAAGATAGCTCCTACAATAAGCTTTGATCATTTCCATCACCTTAGTTGGCATCATAAACAGTTGTGCCCAATAAGCTTGTATTCCAGATATTACAGACTGAATGAGTTGTGCTCGACCAGCGTATGACAGCTTTCGAGCAGACCACGAAGATATCCTAGCAGTGATCCTTGTGATGAGAGGTTTCCATTACATGAAAGTGATTTTCTGAGTGGATAATGGAATTCAAAGATATTTGAAGGGAAACTCTCCACGACTAAATCCCAATCTAGTGAGGATTTGCACTTCCTCAGCTAGTGATACTCCCCCAAAGTACACAGAGCTTTTCCCTAAATTAGCAAGTAGCCCCGATGCCTTAGAGAATTCATTGAAACATTATTATATCATAGTGATTGATGCTAGGTCACCTCTCGAGAAAAGGAACAGGTCATCCGCAAAACACATGTGACTTATTCCTAGCTTCCCACACCTTGGATGGAATTTAAACTCTCTAGTATCCTTGAGGCTGTGTAATATTCGACTTAAGTACTCTATAGCAATTGCAAAAATGAAAGGTGATATTGGATCGCATTGTCTTAATCCTCTGGCAGCTTCAAAGGGATGAGTTGTTTCTCCATTAATCAATATAGAGTAGCTCACTGTTTTCACACATTCCATCACCCAATTGGTGAACCTTCTTGGAAATCCAAGTTCAGTCATTACTTGGTCGAGATGTATCCTTTCCAAATATTCATAGGCCTTTTGCAAATCTATTTTGATCATGCACCTGTAGATATGTGTTTCCTGTTATATCCCTTCACTAATTCATGTGCAAGAATGATGTTGTCTCATATCTTCCTCCCTGGTATGAAACCTACTTGTTCTTCACTGATTACAGTGGTCATTACCTTCTGTAGCCTTATAGCTAAGATCTTCGAAATAATTTTGTAAAGGACTGAGCAACAAGCTATGGGTCGATATTCTTTAATATTCGCAGGGTTAGAGTTTTTGGGCACCAGAGTTACAGTGGTACATTTTATAGCCTTATAGAGTATACTTGTATTGAAAAATTCCTCCACAGGTTCAATGACCTCATGTTTGATAAAGGGCGGGTCACAAACAAATTTAGAAGACTGTGATTGGTCCAAAGGGCGGGTCACAGACAAATTTCTTGGTTATAAAGATTTCGAGTTTGAGTCTCCTTGGGTATGGAGTTGCCTTTGTTAGGGAGTGTTTTACCTTCTAGTGTGGAACTTCCCCGTGCGAATTTAGATTTAATCGAATTTTAGTGGGTATGGTCAAGTTTCAATGTGGATATGAGATAGTGGGCATGAAAAACTTTTCTTAAAAAAAACAATGATCATTCCATCACGTAATTAAAATAACTATTGTTATGCTTAGCATTACTAATGCACGTTGACAACAAAGATAGTACGTGGTTATTGGTTAACCATACAACTACAAAGTCAGATTAAAATATGGTCTATTATATATCTTTGTTTGTAGGTTGAAAATAGTCGCCCCATAGTGTACTAATTTTAAAAAATGATTAAAAGTAAGCACTTTCGATCTCGTGAGATATTGCCAAACTTTTATTATTAAATTGAATTGTACTTGTGAAAAAAATTAAATTAATCAGAAAAAACACAATTTCATCAAAATCCTAAAAAAAGTTGTACCAGGCTTGAAAAAACAACCATAATAATTATATAAATAACATAAACCGCAAAAAATATACGTCCAAATGTGAGTTACCATTAAATAATTTTTATTTTTACAATTTTGATTAAGTTTAATAATCAGAATTTGAAAAATATCCGATGGAGATAACAAAAAAATGCCAACTTTTAATTTAACAAATAATAAAGGACCAAAACTACTCAAATAATATTATGAATCTATACTTTAATAAGGGATCATTTTTTGTCATTTTCTCAAAATATGAATCTCAAAACTGATTAGTCAACTTTGCTGGCCAACACAATCTCCAAAAATTGTATGGAATACTAATTAATCACACAAAAATATCTAAAATACACATAGCTGGAACATATTCTTCAAAAATCTACTTGACATCCAATGTTGCACTGTCATCCACTCATTTGTCATAAAAATTCCAATTTCTTCTAGAATTGTGCCATCAAATTTCAAAATTCCTTATTTTCTTCCTTTTCCACTAAGAAATTTAAAATTCCCACCCCCTCCCTCATCCCAAAAAAAATCGAAGAATAATTCTTTTTTAAATGGACAAAAAAGAAAGACAAGTCACAAGTCAAACAAATGGAAATAGAAAAAGTATTAAAAATGGTCCTTTTACTACTTTTTGGCCCCAGAACACTAATAATAAGTACTTTTTCTTTTTATGTGAGGTAGTTCAACTTGCATAAAATTTAAGAAAGAAAGGAGTATTTTTAAAACTTGTTATCTAAAATAAATGATAAAAATTTGTGTGATCGTAAATCATTTCATTAAGGATAAAATAAATATTTTATAATTAAATTGTTAATTAATATAGAAATATGTCATTCTTTTCTGAAACTGATTAAAAGGAGAAGTAAGTCACATAAATCGAGATACAGGAGAGTAACAAATAACAGAAGTTATTTTGTACTACATCAGAAGCATAGATTCCAAGCTAGAAATTATACAAAGGATCGAAAATGGTACAAGAGAAAACAAAAATGCCATTAATAGGTAAACCAATCCAATAATTTCGACGTACTCGATTGGAATTACTAATCTGAAGATGTCTGGCTAGTTTTTCTTCAGGCTTTCTGCAGAGAATCATATGCATAGGACTAAAAATCCCTTTATCGCCACCTCTAGCCAAATAATCAGCTGTCTCAACCAACATCTTGTGCACATCTACTGTACCCTTAGGTGCAATTCCAAGCCAAGAAAGCACTGTAACCACAATATGATTTCTCCAATACGCAATTTTCCCCATCTGCAGCCTCGTCCACCATGGGTTCGATGGTGGCTTAGCTAAATCTTTCTCATCAACAACTTCAAATCCCACTTTCTTAGCAACCTGAAATATATCACTATATTTTCTCAATCCAGGCAAGGCATCGCCCCTTTCAATACCATGAATAATCTCCACATGTTCGGGATCATCCGAATTGAACAATTCAGTTGTAACCCATTCATACGAAACGTACAGAGATCCGGGTTTTAATACCCTGTATATCTCTCTGTACACTTCTTCGAGTTTTGGTGCATGACATGTTGCTTCAATTGAATAAACTCCATCAAAACTGTCGTCATCAAAAGGCATTTCTAGAAAATTCCCACACACAACTTCACATAATGAGTCAAGTCCCGCTTTCTTATTGTGGAGTCGAGCCCTATTTACTTGATACTCGTTAATGGTGATACCAACAATATTAGCACCTGAATGAGCTGCGATGGCCCGCATAGGTCCGCCAACCCCGCAGCCCGCATCTAGAATTCGGGCTCCAGGCTTTACACCTAACAGATCCACAGCCCTCTCTTCGTGAATGCGCGTGCATTCACGATCAGATTTTCCAGGGATAGAAGGGGAAAAATGAAAAGATTGACCCCATCCCCATTCGTAAATATCAGTAACGAGATTGTAGAAAGTGTCTACAAAATCAGGGACATTTTCGGTAGTTTCGATTTCTTTAGGACGACGGAAGAAAGACCAGTATTGTTTGTATTTGTCTTGAACGTTCTCTTTGGCGATAGAACCACCGGAGAGTTCGACAGCGCGTTTGCCCTTTTGCTCGGCGGAGCCAAGAATGCATACGAACCAGTAGAGGCTAACGGCGATAAGAGAAGCCGTGGCGAAGAGAGCTAGAGAATCCATAGAGAAAAAAGATGGAGTATTTTGAGGAAGTGTGAGTCGAAAAGCAGCCTATTTATCAAAGAAGGAAAGTGGCTTTCGACTGTGACTGCACAAATAATTTGAGATATTAGGTAGTTTTTAGATTATTTATTCTATCATTGATATTATAGTTATGAGATAAGTCATTCATATTATATGATACAATAACTTATTCCGAAATAATTAATTTCGGAATAACTTATTCCCGACCAATAAGGATGGTTAGTGGGATTCACGTAACGAAGCCTCCAGACCAGTTATTTGGTGTCAGGTGTACAGTTTGGAAAAAGAAGACTACGTATATAATTGGAATATATTGGAGTTTTGAGTTTATGGAAAATTCTTCAAGTTGGAATACTAAAATAGTTTGTGAAAATTGGAAACTAAACATAAAACAACAATAATGTGACCATTGTAATCTCGAAAATCCACAAACTAGCCAAACTTGAAAATATTTGAGTACAAGATTTACATAGTCTAATAAAATTTCATGATCAAACATATTTTTGAAGGTAAATTTTTAAAATTTATGATCAAACGCTAGCTTGAAATATAAATTATTTTCCTTTTTTAAAGAATGGCTTTTGCATATATGTGTTGTAGGTGTGCATCACATCCATGTAAAAAATAGGCTTAAGTCATTGACGATCCCTTAAAGTTATTTGCATATTTCACTTAGATACCTCAACAAACCTTTTTTCCTATTAGACACTCCGGTCTTCAAAAATAAATACCTATCAAACATTTTTCTGACACATAATCAAAAGAGGAAGTGTGTGTAATACACATGCACATGATGTGGCAAAATAACAAATCAGAGAAAGACACGTGGCATTTTAATTTAGAATAATTATAAAAATAAATTTTGAATATAAACAAATCTAAAGAAAATCATTTCAACTTAAAAAAGAAAAGAAAAGAAATTGTACACCCTCAACACCCCCCGACCCCCCAACGCAGCCCTCCCTTTCTTCTTTTTCCCTAATAGCAACCCTTGTCCACCATGGTTAATTCTCAATATAGAAAAATGGAGGTTTTAATATATATATTAAGTATGAATTTACTATTTTTATTTCTCTCTATTCCTTTTTTCTTATTTCCATTTACATTGATAGTATTTTCTTGAAAGATCTGGTCTTTCTTTTTTTTATTGTGATTTCAATTTTTTTCTTTTTTCCTTTTTTGTTTATGTTCAGTGTGGGTCAGGGGAGATGAGGAGGAAGAGAGAAAATATTTAAATAATGGTCTTCATTTGTTCCGGCAAAGAAGATGTGAATGATGGTCTCCATTTTTCCGGCAAAAAAAGATGTAGATGATGATATCCATTTTTCGATAAAAAACTGTGATGATGATCTCCTTTTTTCCGACAAAAAATGATGGGTTATTTCTACATCTGAAAAATTAATAGTATAGTGATAAGAAGATTAAAAAAAATGGCAGTGTATTCTTGTGAAGAAATAGTGCAGCAAGATCTTATGGTGAAAGAGAAAGAAAGATAAAAAGATTTTTATTTTTTAAAAAATAATGGAAAATTTTGAAAAAACAAAGGAAAAACGTTAATTTATTTATTTCACGCGCCCAACAAGGTGTGCATTACACTTTTTGTGTCACATTTGCATAAAGTGTCTAAGTGGTTCAAATTCGAGAGGGTATAGGTGTTCAATAGGTACAAGTTCTAGTTGAGGTATCTAAGTGAATTATGCAGACAATTTCAAGGGGCTAGACATGACTTAAACCTAGGCCTATCTTTTTTTTTGGCTTAAGTCATCCATGACCTCTTAAAGTTGTCCGCATAATTTACTTAGACACCTCAACTAAGGCTAGTACCTATTAGGCACTTTAATATTAACAAATATATATCTATTAGACACAAAATGACAATCAATACATAAAACCCTATGCGTGTAACTCACACTCCGTAACTTAAAATAGTTACGAATGAAGTTATGACACCTGGCCCATGTCCTATTGCCCAATCTAACTATAAAAAAATATTTTGTAATTTTGAAAGAATAAAAAATAAGTATTGTTTTCAACCCTAAATAATTCAACCTCACCTACTAAATCTTTTGCCCGTTCTTAAGGACTTATGTTTTTGGTGAACACAATAATTTATTTTTAACTATCCATTAATTTATCAACTATACTTTCTCCATTCACTTTTAAATATTCAGTTTGAAAAATTTTAAAAATAATTTATCATTTTGTTATTAATTATAATTATTTACAAAATTTAAATTTAGTATCTGTAAGTTTCTATGGCCCACATAATTAATTTATTTTTGGTTTAATATAATTAAATAAGTTAAATTCTAAACCTGTATGGGGAAGTTACCTAGTGGGATTAAATCTATTCGTGAATAATTCGTAGCTTAGCAAAATGATATTTGAGATGCCTATGAAAAATAAATCAATGTGAATCATTTTGAAATTAACAGCGATAAGAAATCGAGAATACTCAAATTAATTCTATGAAATTTTAAAATATCATTGTCAATAAACTTAATTAACTTACATTTTAATTTGTGTGGTGATATCGGTTCAAAGTGGCTAGAAATATAGATGAACAGAGTCTGACGAACTTTCTTAACTTCAATGCCTGAAAATCTTCTTTCTTATTGCAAAATCAAATTTAATTAGTAGATTCAGATTACATAAAGAATGAAAATAAATGAAATAACAAAGTTAAAAAAAAAAACAGAGAGTATGGACGAAGAAGACGATGGCAGAAAAAGGGGGTGGGGTTGATTTCTTGGGTTTACCAAGAAATTAATTTTAAATAAAAAAACTGATTTTAATTATTTTAATGTCAAATGTCAATAAAATAAAAAAAGGTACAAGTTCTTAGAAAATAAATAAAAATAAAATGATATTTGAAACCTGTTCACGTGCCTAATGTCAAGTAAGGTACACTTAAATTGTCACATCAGCGTTTTGTGTTTAATAGGTATATGTTTTGAAAAATTTAAGTGTTTAATAGGTACAAGTTCTAGTGGAGGTGTCTAAGTGAATTATGGGGATAACTTTAAGGGGTCGTCGATAACTTAAAATATATACTTACAACACATGAATATATATATTTAAACAATATTGTGTTTGAATTATAAAATTAAGTTCAAAAATTAAATAGAAAGTTACTAAAAATGTTGATCGTGGTAAATAGTTTGGTGCTTCTTGGGTCTGAAATGCTGAGTTAAATACATGAAATTAACTGTTGAGAAAAATTTCATGTGACTAAGAAAATTAATTTACATAGAGAAAAATAAGTATGACTTGTTCAATATGAGAAATAAGCACTTTTTGGTATATAGTCAGAAGCAAAAAGTGACTTTGTATTCAAATTTAAATGAATACAACATAATTGAAGAGGAACAGAGTATATTTGATCGATTTTGCGTTTTTGTATTCGAATTTGCTTGGCTTTCGATTTTGTAACAACCAGAGTGTAATTTGCAACAAAAAGATTTTTAGGGAGTGATTTCAGCTAATTTACTATAACAGAAAAGATCAGTTCCTTGTTTCAAGCAATTAGTTAGTTTGTATTTGTATTTTTTTCTCCGCAAAAAAGTACAACAAATACAATGTGTAGCAAATCAAAGTGTAACTGCAAATTGTAATCAAGGTATGTTATCTACATATATAATAAAGCTAGATATAAACAAGGTGATGTGACACCGACCACCATTCATATATATCTTTTTTCTCCTTTTTTTAAAATTTTTTTCCATTAAACAATTATACATTTAATAATTAAATAAATTATCATATTTACTATATCTAATAATGCTTCATGAGTTACAAAAAAAAAACTTTATCTATTTGCATTCTCTACATAAATATCATGTCTTCTCAACTTTCTTTTACCTAATTTTTCATGATTAATCAATCTATAAATAACAATCCTCCAACTATGGACAAATTAATTAATAGTATGTATAAGAGAAGCCCAAAGAACGCCATAAAAATATATATATAAAAAGAAATGATTTTCATTTTCCCAGGGAGGTTTTTGGTTATAAAATATCGTCCAATTTAAGTAAATAAGAATAACAAATATTGTTTTCAATTAAATACTTAATTTTCTTTCTATGAATCTAGAAAACTTTTGTTATTTTTCGTTACATGAAAGTCTTTATACTTAATTTGTGCGCAAGAGGAAATTTTTTCACTTGAATGTTAAAAAGAACGTCAATCAAGACGATTCTAATGAAAAAATTACATTTGTAATCCGTTTATTTAATATAATATAATAGTAATATTTTTATGACTGCGCAAAGCGCGGCTATGTTTACTAATAAGAGAATAAACATTCTGAACTCCATAAAGCCAAATCTAATACTCAACAAATATATGAAGAGTTGTAGTTTTTTTACACTTTTTAAGTCAAAGTTCATCAACTTCTTCAAATATATTCATTAAGAAATGGATTAAAACTAACTTCAAAAGCTAGCTCATGATGTACGAAATGTAGAGGATCGTTCAAACAATGTAGAACACTTAACAAAAATCAATTATCATTTTGTTGATATTGTCAAAAACTATTTACAGAAAGTGTAGGTGGCTCACCCACCAAATATGTGCATAAACCTCTACACAACTAGTTTCCTTCTTTTCAATCACACCGGAAACTCTACTATAATAAGGACGACAAATGAGAATAATGGAGGAAAGTAGCCTGAAAGAGATGAGAAACTAGAACGTAGAACGGAGATGGGGATAATATACTGAGTCTAAGCTATAATAAATACGCATAGAACTCTTCTTTCTAACACACAGTCCTTTTTAACTAGTAGCTTAATTGGGCACAGGGGCGAATTTATGTACTAATTTTGGGTCACCCGAACCCGTGGTATCCGACTAAACTCGATATATTACTTCTATAATTATTAAAGAATATATTAAATTAAAACTTGTTGAACCCGTTCTCAAAATGGTTGGATGGTTCACTGGTACCACTGCAAAATTTCAACTCACAGGTCGCAGGTTCACTCCCAGGCAGCCCCAATTCGCTGCAATTTATTTTTTTTAACTAAAAACACATTTTTCATTAAAAAAAAAAAAAAGAAAAAAAAAAGCTAAATTCGGAAAGTTCTAATAGTCAAAGACTTCAAAAGTTTCCTTTCCACACACTTTTCAAGTTCCAAATTCCAACAATATTTTTCTTCTCTCTTCAAATTTGTTTTCTATTTTCCACACAAAGAAGAACTTCAAGTCAAGAATTTAGAGCATTCTCCTCAATGAAGCTCATCAAAAATGATCTACGTAATAGCATTGGTGAAGAATTTTTGAATGGATGTTTAGTTTGTAAGATAGAGCGGAAGATATTTGAAAATGTAAGTAATGATGCTATTATAGATCGTTTTCAAAATATGAAGTCTCGTCGAGTACAATTGTAAATTGATGATATTTTTTGTGGTAATGTAATTTTTATGTATTGCTCGCTTAGTTATTGTTATTATAAAAATTTTTTATCTTATCTTTAAAGCAATGGTGCACCCGTTTTCTTAAAATCCTGGATTCGCCTCTGATTGGGCATGTATTTCAAATAAAACTATCTAATATTTTACTCGACCCAATAATTTCAACTGAATCAGTCTCCACCAATTCTAGCTCATAGGCCCTTATAGTCTAGCTTGGTTCACAACAATACTCCCGACCTTGATAAGAACCTTGTCCTCAAGTTTCGACTCAAAATATGAAAAAGAGTTGAGAATATCAATCCACTGAGTGAGACCAGTCCAACTGGCGCTAGCTCTATCATGTATCCATTGTGTAGAATAATATTCACCCAAGATGAGCTCTACGTCAGAGCCTTCTATATTATATGTAATGTTATATAGAGTACAATGTATTACTAGGACTCTGATAAGAGTACAAGCTTATGTAAATAAGGACTCTTAGAGTACTAAGTGTAAGACTAAAAAGATTCAACCTATTTTATATGCATTAATACACCCCCTCAATCTGGACTGGCCGAAGTATGGACAGATTGTCTCGTAGAAAATAAAAGCGAGATGAAGGCAGGCCCTTTGTGAAAGATATCAGCTAACTGCAATTGTGTCGGAACATATTGAACTATAAGATCCCCTTGTGCAATCTTGTCACGAACAAAATGAAAATCAACAACAATATGTTTCGAGCGATCATGAAAAACTGGATTGCGGGTCATGTAAGTGGAGTTGATATTATCACACAATACACGAATTGGTTCACGAAAAAAGATACCAAGCTTACAAAGGATGTGACAAATCCAACAAGTCTCAGTAATAGTGTATGCAACAGCCCGATACCCAGCCTCTGTAGATGATTTTGAAACTGTTAGTTGCTTCTTCGCATGCCAAGAGATAAGATTAGATCCTAGGAACATAGCACAACCAGAAGTAGAACGACGACTATCAGGACAACCAACCCAATCAACATCAAAGTAAGCAATAACCATGGAAGTCGGTGATGAGGCACGTAAAGTCAGACCATAAGTCAGAGTACCCTTCAAATACCTGAAAATACAGTTGATACAATGCATGTGAGTAACATGCATAAATTGAGAGACAACATTTACGGCAAAGAAAATATTTGGACGTGTCATAGTTAAATATTGAAGAGCACCAACCATGCTCCTATATTCACTAGGATCTGAAAGTAACTCGCCGTCCAATAGAGAGATAGAAGTGCGAGAAGCAAGAGGGGTACATATAGGTTTGCATGTGTGCATGTGAAATTTAAGCAATAAATCAGAAATGTACTTTTGTTGAGACAAGTGAAGACCATGAGATGAACGAACCACTTGAATACCAAGAAAATAATGAAGATTGCCTAAATCCTTCATTGCAAATTGATAAGATAAACGAGATATGAATTGATCAAGAAGACCATTAAGACTACCTGTGAGAATAATATCATCGACATAGAGGGAGAGAATAAGGATATGAGAAGAAAAACGATATATAAACATTGAACTATCAGATTTGCTGCAAATAAAACTATGAGAAATAAGAAATGAACTGAAGCGATGAAACCAAGTCCGATGATGAGCTTATTTCAAGCCATAGATGACTTTGGTTAGCTTGCAAACATGAGTAGGATAGTCATGATGAATGAAACCTGGAGGATGCTTCATGTAGACCTCCTTAATTAGTAAGGACACCGTGCAAAAATGCATTTTTAACATCCAACTGGAGAATCTGCCAAGAAAAGGAGACAACAAGGGAAAGAATAATTCTCACAATTGTTGCACAGACAACAAGGCTAAAAGTCTCATGATAATCAATGTCAGGTTTTTGACGAAAGCCTTGTGCTACAAGACGAGCCTTATACCACGCAATAGATCCATTTGAATTATATTTTATGTAATATACCCATTTAGAACCAACTAAGTTCATATTCGAAATACACAGAACAAGGACCCACATTTTTTTCTCCAAAAGGGCATTAAATTCATCTGTCATTGCTTGTTACCACTTTGGATTTTTCACACTTTTGAGACACATATTCTTCAATTATGATTTTACGCTTAACTATATTTTTATCTTTAGATGTAATATTCAAAAAAAATAGTTGATTTGTATTTTTTTAAAGTTATTTTTGCTTTTCTACATATGCATGAGCATACAATATTTGATTATTATGATAGAGAATGAATAAGTCGCTCATTACACCAAACATGGTGAAGTGATGCAATGCTATTGGAGTTTGTTTCAATTGGAGATGCTTTGCTATTTGCACTATAAGTGGATGTATAATGCACTTTATTTCTGCTTAGTATTTACATTGGTCTACTTCTTTTGTTTGGATATGCGGTTCAAGCATGTATCTATGCCGATATCAATTTTATATAACATCTAAATTGTAATTAGCTTTGTATGGCTTCTCGATTTTCATAATCTTTACAAACTTAAATTCATGTTAGTCTAATATAATATTATATATAATAAAAATTAATTTTATGGACTCGTGGGTGAATGCAAGAAAGAAAAATTATACAACAAAGTTGTGACTCGTGAAATAGAACTAGAAGCCCTTGGTATTTGTACAAAAATTTGTATTGTTATTTGTACAAAAACCTCTATCAAGACTAACAACCTTAGAAAATGTTGAATTTAAAGTAATATATTAACATAGACTAAAACATAAATCTAAAGAAAAATTATATAATGAAGCAGTGAAAACTCGTAAAATAGAACTACAAGCCCTTTGTATTGTGCATTTGTACAAAAACCTTTGCCAAGACTAACAGTCTTAGAAAATATTGAATCTATAGTAAATATATTAACATATACTAAAACTTAAATCCTTACGCAAGGTGAAGCTATAGAGCACATGTTACGATTTAGCCCAAATCTAATTAATTTATGTCCAAAATATTTGTTAGGTACTAATAAGGAGTATAAAATAACAAATAAAACTATTAAAACTTAGTAAAAATTAGACGGGCTGAGTTATGATCCATTACTAATCCGTTATCGAACCCGTTTTGACCCAACTCATTAGATCTTAACTTGTTTATTGTCTTGATTCATTTTAACTCGTTCAAATTTAATCAAATCCGTCCAATTGACATGCTCCACCAACGCAACTGCCCGTACAGTTAAAATTGGAGTATCATAGTGATAGGAAGATAGTACTAGTTGATTGATTAATTCCTAAATCTCTTGAGATGATTGGAAGTATCCTACTTCCGACGCCGGCACAACTGTTAAGTCACCGGCTAAGCCTCTGGAACCGCCGTCCACGGCCAGATCCTTGGTGCTCATTGAGCAAACAAGGCCACCGCTTTCTCTCCACCCTTATCGCCACCGACTCCGACGATATCTCCGCTACCCGCCACTTACTTCGCAAATTCGTTGGCTCATCTTCCAAACACGTCGCTCTCAGTACTCTATCTCACCTTGTATCTCCTACTACTACCTCTCATTATCGCCTCTGTTCTCTTGCCCTCCCCGTACGTCTCTCTCTTATCGTGTATTTCAGTTTGTCCTCGATTCACTGTGACGCAGAATGTTTATTTGCAGTTATGTTTTTCATTTTTTCCTACTAACTGATCACCGCTAAGTATGACTCAATGCGAAGCAAATTGTTTGTTTTCAGCTGTATCATTATGTGTTTTCAATTTTGTCATACTTGTTTTCGATAAGTTTGATTAAATGCAAAGCAAAATGCTTTCTGCAGTTGTATTTGGAAATCAGTGAAGCGTCATGGTTTGATTGGAACTCGAAACTAGTGGCAGACTTGGTTGCATTGCTTTACAAGCTAGAGAGATTTGATGAAGCTGAAACCCTAGTTACTGAAACGGTATCTAAATTGGGAAGCCGAGAACGAGATTTGTGCAGTTTCTACTCTCAATTAATCCATTCACAATCTAAGCACAATTCGGAGAGAGGAGTTTTGGATTTTTGTACAAAACTGAAGCTTGTTCTCTTGCGTTCCTCGTCTGTTTATTTGAAGCAACGAGGGTATGCCTCAATGGTTGAAGGATTTTGTCTTATTGGATTACCGCGTAAAGCTGAGGAATTGATGGAAGAGATGAAGGAATTAGGACTGAAATTGTCAAAGTTTGAATTTAGGTCTCTAGTTTATTCATATGGGAAATCTGGATACTTAAGAGATATGAAAAGGATTGTAGTTGAAATGGAGAGTATGGGATTTCAATTAGATACAGTTAGCTCAAATATGGTGCTTAATTCATTTGGATCTCACAATGAGTTGTCAGAAGTGGTTTCGTCGCTCCAAAAAATTGAAGCTTCAGGTGTTCTGTTTTCTATTAGAACTTACAATTCAGTTTTGAATTCCTGCCCAACAATTAGTCTATTACTGCAAGATCTGAAGAGTGTCCCTCTTTCTTTGGAAGAGTTAATGGGCAATCTGGATGAGAATGAAGCGGTTTTGGTTAATATATTGGTTGGATCCTCGGTTTTGGAGGAGACAATGCAGTGGAAGCCTTCAGAGTTGAAGTTGGACTTGCATGGGATGCATTTGACCTCTGCTTATGTGATCATATTACAATGGTTTCATCAGCTTCAATGCAAGTTTCTTGCTGAAAATCGTGTTCTTCCAGGTGAAATCATAGTGGTGTGTGGAGCAGGAAAACACAGTGTTGTTAGAGGAGAATCCCCTGTGAAACGGTTGATCAAGGAAATACTACTGCGGATTGGATGTCCACTCAGGCTTGATAGGAAGAACGTTGGATGTTTCATTGCTAAGGGAAAAAGTTTCATGGAGTGGTTATCAAATTATAATGCCACTATACATGAAAGGATATCATGACAGTCACAAGTCCTAGATGTTAAATACATTAAGATGATATCACGAAAGACCGCAAGAAGAAGCTGAATTTGATTGATCCTTATCATACCAGTTGGTTATGATTGAGTAGAAACACGATTATCTGATATCCTCAAACATGCACTTTTCTGTTACAATAGCGAGACAGCTGATAAGAGAAAGGTAAATCATCATTAATTGTTGAAGCATGTCACTTTTTGTTGAACAATTATCGTCAGCTATTGAAGCATCTAAAATTTTGCTGAATACCATGAGCTGTTCTAGCATTTAATATTTGGTTATTGGCCTAAATTACCTGTGTTTCACAATTGCAAAACTCCTGCATAAAAGTCCAACAAACAAATCGAGCTGCTGCATAAGCAGTTCAATGCAGCTCAGAAGTAAGCAATCACAGCGTTTTGCACGCAAAATGGAGAAACAAATTTTTGCAAGATATCCCGTGTAAGCAATATATGAAATCATTACTCTCGCAGGCTTTATAAGCAAATTCTTAAAGATCAAGGTCCTTGTTTGGGTGATTATTCATAATAGTGGAAGACAAACATGAGCGCAAAACCTATTTGCAGCATAGATTGCTCTACCTAACCAATTACATTACAATGTCTACAGCTCCATAGAGAAACATTGTGTAGTCTCATGATGGTATCCAAAGAACTGTCAGCAATAATTCAACATCCACCACTCTGCAAGATTTGCGAGACCAACGGTGGACTAAGGAGTATTTACAAGTTCTTTGGGTCAAGAAGTAGGAACCTCTCCAACAAGTATCAAAGAACAATCTTGGTCTCCGCAGCAAGAGGCAATAATGATGTTGCTCCAACATGAACAATAATTCTGTGCAGCCGTGCTTCAGTATTTCTGATGTCCAGCCACAGATTTTAAACAAGGTCAGCAGGAAGTTATGTCCCATTATTTTATTCGTGGTATGATAATAAATATTAGATCAATGATCAGTAGGTGGAAAGGATCCCTGTACTAGAGAATTTGGGCAACTGAATGCAATTCACTCAACTAACCACTTCCTTCTTGCGAAAGCCATATTCAATGCAAGGGGACTTGCTAGCTTACTATTAATCAAAAGAATCTCACTTCAAAGTAATTTAGCTAAAGCCAGCTCCTATCATTACTAGAAATGTTGCGCTTTATGGGCTCGTCTATACGTGAATCCTCCAATATTACAATCTTACTTGATCCCAATTCATCCCCGAACTGTATGTTCTTGTAATCCATTTTCATTCTACATTATAAAAATATCCTTGTTATCTCCCCTTGATTGATATATTCATCTTTTGTAGGCAGGGATAGGTGTGTATCTTCGTAGCAGCAGGTATAATAGGCATGGATAGATGTGCATCCTCAATAACATATAGAGACACACTCACTACTTCCGGTTCAAGCTATTTTATATAATTGCATGATTTTTTAAAATATAGTATATGTATTTGTACTGATTTTACTTCCATTGTTACTATGTGGATGAAGTGGTGCTTTGTATTGCAAATCCTGAATCTGCCTATGTTAGAAGGGAAAAACTGCTAATTATTGAAAACTTGTCTACTTTCAAAAGTGGAAAACAACTTCTGCCTAGACCATCAAGGGTAAGACACCAAAAACCCCGTGGCCTAAATGTCCTATTCTAATAAAAGAACATCAAAAATATAACTCTCGCCTCTAGAAATTGGAGCATCTGTGAGCCAATTCCTATTAGATTTTCATGTTTAATTCCCAGCAGTAGGCCAAGTTGAGGGAACCCTGTTGGAGGTAATGGGAGGCATACCACGAACATTGATGTCAATGGGATACAGCCTGTACTCAATGTCGAACTCTTTGAAAACTTTAATCATCTCCTCAATCAATTGAGCTCGTCTGTTCCATCTCTCTCCCATGTCCTGATGGTTAACTCTATGTCTGATCCATACAGATAGTTTCAACCTGTTTAGATCTTCTAGGTTCATCAACACCACCGAAGGAGAGGGATACCAGTGGTCCTTCTTGTTCTCAATATAACTGCAATACCAAACCACAAAGATTATGTCCAATCATAACTCATACTTGTTTAAATCTTCCAGGTTCTACATACTTTCTTCAAACTTCAAAGTACTCATAGTGGTGATAAAAGATTATATTGGATGACAAGAACAAACATATACCTGATTATTCTTTGTTTCATAGCAGCAATTTTCTCTGCTGGTGTAGAAATGTGGACCGTAAAATCAACCGAGTCTCCCATATCAGGACTGCGGTAGTAATTGCCAATAGGTCGTGTTAAAAGAGTGCTATTTGGATATATTATCTTTTGGTTGTCAAACCTCAGAAAGACGGTAGTTAAAATATTCATCTCTTCGACAATCATCTGAAAATTGAAAATAAATAAATCAGGCCTTACTAAACACATAAATACACTAACAAAAATATTCCCACTCTTCCATTTTATATGATACATAAATACACTAACAAGAATGACACCTTTTTATATTTGGAAAGTTTTTCATGTAAACTTCCCCTTTTACCCTTAATGACATGCTCTTATAACCATAGAATTGTCATGACACATTTAAGATCACAAGCTCTAACGGTGCTTTTGGTATGTGTCAAAAGTCTTTCTTTCTTAAGTTATATGACTTATCTGACACTATCATGTAAAATGAAAAGGATGGAGTATTTTATTATGGTTGAATAGACATAACAAAGTGGAAAAAAGATCAAGAAAGTATGCTATATACCTGAACTGCATCAATCTCACATCGGTCGCCCACATCAAAGGGATGCATCACAAATAAGAAAATAATAGATTCAAATATGGTTTTGCATGTGTTTCCAAATACAAATGCCACAACAACGACTTGAGAGCTGATGAAGAGCAAGAACTTGCTGGTTGCGATCCCTAAAATCACAAGGCAGATGACCAGAATGATGATGCTGACTAAAACATTCACCATCTGATGAAGTTTGTTCACTGCTGTTTTTGTATCATTTAGCGTCAAAGCTAGAGCTCTCCGTTCTCTGAATGCATTCACCTACAAAAATTAAGGATAGTTATTTGATACTCCTGTTTGTGTATGCAATTTGATAAGATCACAAGAATATGTGCTCAACTTCATCAAGAATTAATGAGCAAAAAGGTACAGTTAAACTCCTTGCGGATATATCTTGTATCCACTGGCATACAGTCAGTGCAATTTAACTTGTTGTTGAAGGGTCCTTGTCTTATTTCCAGGTTATATTAGTTCCACTGATTGGGGGTAATTTCCTTTAAAGTGATTTAGATGTTAAATCCATTGCTTCTATGATCATTTCTTACCACCCAGTTCTTGAGTGATGCTTTACTGATCTTTTCTCTGTCCGGTGATCCTTCCACAAGATTCATAGTCTTCAAAGCTTCTTCTTCTCGCAAGAAGCTACTTAAGTCCTTCAGATAGATGAACCTGTTAGAAGAACAAAGTTTGGGACTAAATTTACTGAAGTAATATGACCAGTTAGTTGACTGCTTTTTTAAGTATATGATCCTTTTGTCTGACATAGCAAGTATCAAAAGATCTGGAAAAGTGTAACTGATCAAAACTTTAAGAATTAAGATTAATAAAAGTCACACTACACCAGGTAGCTGGCTAAACCTAAGCTGTATATCGGTATGCAGTACAGCAGTAGTAATTCCAAAATTGGACATAATTCAGGAATCAGGACTATGAAATGGTTATCTCCATAAATTAGGTACTATTATTTAACAAGAAAGATACGTAAAAGGATCACAAACTGTGGAAAATTACAGATATGTATCTTTCTATACTGTCTTCGTTTGTGTTATCTGTATTAGCACAAGATGAGGAAGAAGCAGCAGGACAAGCTAGGAAACTTGATGAATATGCGATGCTGCAAATGATCTGGTTAGTTTTTCCTTTTTTCTCTTCTTTTTTGTTATTTTTCTTGTTTTGTGAGGCCATGTTCATTTATCTTTTTTCAGCTAAAAAAAGAATCTACTTGTCTCGTCCTCACAGGAAAATAAGAGAAGGTTTTGCTCTTAAAAGTCTTCAAAAACTAGTAAAATAATGTGCTCTCTTACCTTAATTTCAACCTCTAAGAAGTTCGATGTCTTCTAGTTCTAGAAAAATGATTTGGATTAATTAGATGTACCTGGAAATTATGAAATTACTTACTTGGACCTAGGCTTGGCAACATTTCTGAATATTTTCCTGGCAGCAACTTTGGCCTCATATTCACTTCTTATCTGTGTAGTAGAATCATCTTCCCTTTTCGTATCGTGTATTTGCTCGTCCAACGTAGATATTACCCCATATCTTACTATTTTAATCAATCTCTTCATATTCCAAGCTGAAATATTCTTGGGATTCAACTTATGCAAATGATCAATGGATATCCCTTGGTTCGGTTCATCTGGATTTTTTGACAAGGGACCAGAAATGGCGATACTTACTGTTCTTGATGGTTTTGGTGTTGGTGTTTGCCCACCATTAACACTTGCACCTTTACTACTGTATCGAGGAGCAAGTGGGGGCCTAAGTTCTGGTGGCAACTGTGCCCCTGCAATATTCTGTAGCTTCCAAACTTCAGCCAATGTTCTGTCCTCTTCTTCTTGAGATCGATGGATTTCAAGCAAAGGCGGACCTGATAATGTCTCAATCACATACTGATTGAACAATGACTCTTGAATTCGATCGAAGAAAGTACTAACATGAAATGAAGATGCTAGGACTTTAACCATGAGAGTTTTCACCAGCCATAACATTGTCCCAATTAGCATACATATCATCAGTTTATTGATGTACCCCAAGAACTTATTAGTTGTATCAACTTTCTGATCAAACATGGAATGCCAAGCAATTAAAACCAACCCTAACCAAAGACAATTCTGGACAGGTTTTCTAACACCATAAACGAAATATAGTACCCTTTTCCGCAATAGAAAATTCCTCTCAATACAGAACACAACTAACCGAATCACCCATCCTGATAACAATCTCCCACATATTAAAACAAGAACCAAAACTAACCATTTCCACAAATGAAGTCCTCTTAATATTCTGCTCTTCAACAAAGGAATAGTAAGTGTGCAAATTAAAGCTGTACCAATTACAATAAGACTTATCCATTGTAACAGCGTCCAGCAATCAACTTTACCCTTTTTAAATTCCTCTGGAAGATCTTCATCGAATAATGGATCGTCATCTTCCTCCTCTGGTGGCTTTAGCATCCCTGAAGTTCTTCCTAACACTCCAGATTTTAATTGACCAGATTTTCCTATTTTTCCTGATCTCCTCTCAGGTATATCAGGCGGCGGGTCAATTAGCCTTGATTTTGTCTTTACTCTCCCTAATACACTCGCTCTTCTTTGAAACGAAGTGCACCTTAGCACCTGATCACTTTCACCAGCACCATTTTTAGGAGTGTAATAAGCAGTGTTGCTGTTATTAGTATCATCTGGAGAATTATTCATGTTTATGGTCCTTCTTCGGTTAAGATGCTTTTGCTCATTGGGTGTTGCATCACTAATTGCACCATCCTCTTCATCGCTCGATGAATCATTATTATAAGGTTGGTCAAGCTCGATGTCAACCACGTTACTAGATGGTGACGGATCCTGAAATGAAACTCTAAGTTCTCTTGATGTCGTATGACTATGATTGTGTGTGTGATCAGGGGGGAAATTTATTAGGGGACTGGATCCAGCAGCGCTATGATCATTTTCAGGTTTCGGATGACTTCTCAGTTCATCCATTTCCATGTCCATGTCCAATGTCATTTCACATCCAACAGCTCTCTGTTTATTCAAGAACTGACCAATTAGTCTGGAGGGTGGATCCTCAGACATGTCCTTGCCACGCTGGAATGTCTTCGGGACGTTGTTTTGGGGCCCGTTATTCATTTCTTCTCTCCAAAATTCATAACTCGTCTCGTGCCATAACATATTATGTTCGTTTCCATTGTTTTTTTCTCCACCATCAATCTTGACAATGACCTCTCGTCGGTCATTAAGATCAATGGAGGACCTTGTCGTCAACGAGGAGGAGTTGATGGAGGAGGAAGCAGACGGGGCTTCCGGGCTTCGATGAGCCAATATAGGTTGGTTTTCGATATCGTGGACAGCAGAGACCTTCTTATAAGAACCGTGTGGTGTTAATGATTTCTTGAGAGATGAAGAAAGTTGATCCATGATTTATAATTCCTATGTATTCTTGAGGTTTAATTAATTTCCTCTAATCCTTCAGCCTGAAAAAAAAAACATGGTTTTGGATGAATGCTTCGGTTATGGGAAATGCTGCAATTGGAAAACGTTATATTCCTATATTGAAGGTGGGGTATAAAGTTTATGTTGTGTTGTGTTGAGAGATGTAAAAAAAATGGTTTTCTTTGGGATTGACTAATTATGGTATTGACATGGGAAAAAAAAAGAAAAAAGAATCACGATAAATACTTACTCGCGCATCAGACAAATGGTATATGTAACGATAAATGAGGAGGTTAATTAGCCAAGTTTTTTTCTTTCAACCATGCGATAAGTTGCTTTTTGGGTTGCAGCACATGAGCAAGGTTTTCTAGTTCACGTTCAAATCTTTACCTAAAAAATATCATGTCACATCAACGCATTGAATCTAAAAAATAAATGGTAATTGAACGAAGCAGTTGCTTTCTCTTAAATTTGTGGATTTTGGAACAAAGCAATTGAAGACCAAGGAGTTATCAACTATTTTGACAAACAAGTGATAACCAAATTACTTGTGAGTACATGTGTTAAATGAAGAGAAGTGAATTTGAACGAGTCAAAAATCAAAATGGGTTGAGTTAATTAATAAATAAGATTAATTTAAAAATTACTTAGACTAAAATGGATTAAAATTGAAATGAAATAGGCTAAAATATAGATTATAATCCAACTAATTTAAAACTTCTACTCGCAAGTAAAATTTGTAATAGGAATAAAGTAAGTGCTCAACATTTTCTTTCATGCAAGTCCTTTCTAATTTCCTTTACAAATAAGTTACACTTATTTTTAACCACAAAATATTTTAAATCTGCCAGTAAATTGCATTTACGGATTTTCCCAAATGTCTTAACATCTGCATCGGAAAAATGCCGGAACCCTTACCTTTTCTTTGGTTTTCAAAATAGGGTTATCATAAATATCTTTCCAAAAAAAAAAGGTTTTCTAATTGCATAAAACTTAGGTTAGCAACTCTACTAATTCACAAATAGCCAAGTTATTAGACGTTTATAATTAGTTTAAAATGGGATCGTAACCCGGTACGACTCCATCACAACTGAGAAGTGCTCCAAGTGGGCCCAATGTCTTTATTCGAATCTTGGCTATATCGTACATGTCCTTATTCACCCTAACCCTAACGTACGCCATAGAAATGCCTCCAAAAAGACGAATTGTGCAAATAGAATAGAGAGAGAGCAGGGATAGAAGTCATAAATGGCTCATCAAACCAAAAATACTTATAGACTATAAAACCACAAGTTGGGTATAATCAACTTACAACTTTTAACTTATAAGTACTTTGATATTTACCAAACACATAATTAGGTCAAAAATACTTATAAGCTAATTTGACCCACTCATAAGCTTAGCTAAACAAACTCTTTATGTTTCCAACTACAAGTTTAATATAAAGACTCATCATGATATCACTATTATACTAGTTATTGTTCTACTTATAGCAAAACGCAAGAAGAAGGGTGAATTGATCTCTTTTTCTAAGGTTAATATATCAGTCGACTGTCACTTTATGCAAGTCAACTACCCAGCAAATTAGAAGAGTATACAAATATAACAATCATAAAAGAGAAGGGGAACAGTTGACCTCAAATATAACAATCATAAAAGGGAAGGGGAACAGTTGACATAGGTGTTTCTATAATGGTTTGAATCATTAATGTGGTGCTTAGTGCATGGAACGGACTCTTCTCTTATCGCCTTGCATTAACACATAATAAGAGAATAGAAAACAAAGGACCTACGACTGACTGAAAACTAGAAAAAGATTTGCTTGTTAAGACATATAAAGCACAATATTCTTGAACAATCAACAAACATCTTAGATCCGGAATGAACCGAACCGTTCCCTGGTAAACTTTGCTCAAGTTCTACAAGCTCAAACCCAAAAGCTTCTTTCTTGGTTAGCTTCTTGAACATAAGGAAGAAAATGCTAAAAGAAAGAATGACCACCTAAACAAGGGTATCTCAAAATAATTAGCAAAAAACGTTCTGGTAAATGGCAACACTGATCGGGAAAAAATCTGTACAAGGGATAAATAAGCTAGAAGTGTGTTATCAGATTATAACTTTTTATCAACATTCTCTATAAGTGTATTTACTTAGTGGTGTCCACGTCTGAGGACTGAAAAGAATCCTCCGGATGGCTTCTCCTTGCGGCGATCATCTTCCTCATCTGCAACCTGACCCATACAATAGAATGTTAACGTTTTAAACATGTCTTCACATGAGGAGAAGTCTAGGACTTTTGAAATATAAATCAAAGCAATAATAAGTAAAGTGATACAAGAACGTATTCTTTTATCTAAAACTTCTTCCCTGTGCTTTAGCTCCCCCATCGTAGATGGTTCAGCCATTCCCAGTGCCACAAAATGATTGACAACTACAACGGGGTCTAAATGCATTTTCTTCTGTGTATTTAATAAGTATTGCAAGATCGAATAATACAAGGAAGGCCGGACTGCAGGGAGGGTGCTTGAAAGTAGATATGACAATTACACAACTGTAACGATGAAGAAAAGAAGGAAAGTGATTTTGGAATCTGGATGCTGAAGATTGGAGAAGAACCCTCAAGCACTCATTACAAATTCACATTATGGGTGTCAAATTTGTTGAACTACATGAAAAGTGACCATTCCTTTTGCCAACTTTATTTTTGGTGAATAAAAAAATAAACTAATGCAACCTACCTCTATGCATCGGAACTTGACACATTATAGGTCTAAAAGATGTTTGTTTTCACTAGGTGATTCAATTCATGTATTGTAATCTATCAATTATTCGTGTTGTATGTATTTACATTAAATTATTCACCAGAGCAACAATAAATATAGGATTGATTGGGTAATGTAAAAGAAAAGCGCATACCTCTTTTGCTACTTGCTGCAATGTCTCTATTATCTCAGGAAAGTCTGGCCTTGATGTTGGATCTCGTTGCCAGCATTTCTCCAGTAACTCAGCAATTTTTGGATGAGTATGTTTGGGAATAGCAGGTCGCAACCCCTGAAATCCATTAGAAAAGAACTATCACCATATATGTATTTTCTTTAATATGTGTCTGCATGCTTGTTAGGACTTAGGCACAAGTATGCATCCAGCGATCATGGTCACATTTGATAATATATATCATACCTTCTGGACAACTCCAATGGCAGCTTGTAGTGGGGTCAAGTACTCATATGGAAGCTGATAATCAAATAAAAAGATATAAATACAATGAAAAACAACACAAAATGACTAAATATCAAAATAACCACAGATAAATACCTTTGCAGTCATCAATTCCCATAACAGAACCCCAAAACTGAAAATATCTGCTTTGTGATCATATGGCTTGTGTTCTATAACCTTCAAGAACAAAGATCTGTTATAAGAAAATGCAGGTACAGTAACAATTAAATTAAGGCAAACAAATCTTCAGACTTGGAAAATGGTTAAGTCGTCTAGTCCCTCCAATCTTATGCCCTCAACTTACTTTGGTACCCACAAGTTGGTCTGGACTCTGGACACCACGGTTATAAGAAAGAGAGCTATTCTGCATATAAGTCTACAGGTTGACAGAAGGAGCTGTTTAACTAACCCTATAACCCACCAAAATACTTTTTCTTTTGGGAAAAACACATGGTATTTGGTCAACTTCTCAAATAGATGGCATGTCGGGTTTTTGGTATTGACCCACCTTTTGGCCTACTCGAACAAAATGCTTATGCACATATCTTCTTTTGGGTAGAGCAAAGACAAGACCTGAAGAAAACGAAAGAAAACCTTCTATAGTTGGTCTATAGGCTGGAACCTCTCTTGATAAAATTCATCAAGGTTGACAAACTATGGATGTACCAGAACTTAATGGAGAAGCATTATTGAAAAATCATATACCAGATTAAGTTGCTGGGTTAATGGGACAGTTGCTTGCATAAATTGGATTACACACAAGTTACTGAAGAATATTCTACATGGATATGAGTGCTGAAACTGCTAAAACATAAAATGATAAAATTCAACTGAAGCCACAGTTAATTCTGGAACTAAAGTCTAATTTTACCTTAAGAATCTGAATTTTCCATTAGAAGCAAATACCAGACTAAAGCTAAATTAGAGGTGTTCAGTCATAATCCGGCACACATTGGCATTTCAACCAATTGTGATCTCCCTTTCTGTATGTTTATCCTCTTATAACTTCACCTTCTTTGGGTGTCGTATCTAATATGCACACTTTAAATTTAAGATCTGCATAGCTCAGTCCTTACTCAAGGTTCAGTGCTAGCTTAGGTAGTTGTAAGACCAAATATACTGGTTGATAATAATGTTGATGACCAAAGCATACCTCAGGGGCCATCCATCTATAAGTCCCTGTCTCCGCCGTCATGACACCAGTTTGTGCCTTCACTCTGGCAACACCAAAATCAGCCACTTTAACAACCTGAAATAATAAAAGTACTGGGTAAAACTTGATATGAAACAGAATGTATTGTGTTCGCACAGTGGCTAGATGAAACTAGAAAAAAACTGATTATTTATGAAAGGCCTTAGAAATGAAAGTCGACGAGAAGAATGACAGTTTGCTATTGCATGGCTTTGGCAAGCTAATTTAGGTCCTTGAGGTAGAAAAAGGGGCATGATGCATATGATTTCCAAGAAATTTAGAAAATAAAAAACCTTCTATGCTATAAGTACGAAAACAGAAACAGACTGTCAACTGCAAACAACTGAAAATCCAACTAATACCCTCAAAATTCACCAACAACTGATTTCAAGAGATTGAGAGGATGAACTATAGTCCAAGAAAAGGTACTAATGCTACAACCAAGCAAACCATGCCACAAACTCAGAATATTTTGGTTAGTCCAAGAAAATTCACCAAAGAGTTTAATTCTACTTGAACTGTACTCACAAAATTTGATGAAAACTAAAGAATCGAAAGTAAAAGTAGCATCTTAAATCCGTTTCACAAAGTTCCGTCTCCAGTTTTAGACTAGGACTGTAGGCAGAGCTGGTGTACATTAGAAGACAAGGAGCATGTCAACCTCTTTGAATATTCCAATCTTTTTTTTTTTACTAAAGGAGGCATCAGACTGTAAAGATTTTGCTTCGTCATATTCAGTTTTCCATGTTATTGTATATTATGAATTAGTAATAATCAGCCTTGAAGTATTAGTTCCTTCCTCTTTGTCTAACTTCAAACTAGGAAACTGCTTACAGCTTACTTGCTAAATTCATAGAAAATAACGAGAAAAGTACATTTTCCCCTATCCCCAAAAGTGTTGGCAAGAGTTTAGACCATCCTTTCTTTCCCTTCCCATTCTTGAACAAGATAACAACAACATACCCGGTGTAGTCCCACACAGTGAGGTTCGGGGAGGCTGGAGTAGAGTGTATGCAGACCTTACCCCTACTTCACGGAAGAAGAGAGGCTACTTCCGAAAGACCCCCGGAATTTTGTTCAGCCTTAAATATGTTTATAACATGCAGTTTTGGTTCTGCCTACACCATGAAACTTGAATTTCTTGATAAAGCTCACACTAAAAGATGATCTTCTTGCTAAGTGCCATATCAGATTTACAATCTAAGGATGGAAATTTCTATCGGAACCCCAAAACCCGAATATAAGTTATCTTTCTCATATCTTTATTTTGGTTATGTCCCAAGTTCAAGAAGCTCATCAATAAGATGAACATAATTTCACTTAGCAAATGAGTCAGATAAAAAACATACGTTTGAGATATTTTTAGCTAAGAAGTCCAATTAATACTTGGATGACATCTCTGATGGCTATCCAATATGCAATTGAAGAACTAATCCTTCGGTTTATGAAATTATCTCTCCTTCATATCTGCAGTCAAATATAAGTTGCACAAACTACAACTTACTAAAGCAAGATTCAGTCTCATATTCAGTTAGTTAATGATAAAAGATGTACTGGTACAGATTATGCAATTAATAAATCTTATTATGCAAATTGAAAGCTGAAAACATCTACCAATAACATAGACAACAAACATCTACATTATTGTGCTTATTGAGATAATATCTTACTTCATTTTCATCCATCAGTAGATTGGCAGCCTTCAAGTCTCTGTGTATGATGTTATTCTGGTGCAGGTAATTCATCCCTTTTGACACATCAATTGCTACTTTGAGCAAAGTAGGGAATTTGAAACTGCCCTTTTGTTTGTGTAAGTAGTCATATACGCTTCCTCCAGACATGTACTCTACAGTTCAGAAAATTAAAGTAAGGTCATTAGTAAGAAAACTCATTTGGAGGAGGCAAGTAGAAGAAAACCAAATGTTGTCTGTAGTTTAATTTCCCCGATTAAGCTATTAATATACCTGTTACTATACACAAGTTTGGAGGCCTGGTACATGCCCCTATGAATTGGACAACATTTTTATGACGAACTTTTCTGCAAGCACAGTCAAAATGAAGTGTCAGATAAATTAAATCTTGAAATTATATCGTCCTTGCCTAACCAACACACACCCAATTGCATCCAAGTATGGAAAATAGATCAGAGAAATCAAATCTTGAAATTATATAGTCTGTGTGTACCCAACACATGAACACACCCTATTGCGTCCCAGAAAGGAAAACAGAACAAACGCGTAGAAAAAAATATATTGGCTGATTGATCAGGAATGATAGCTAAAGTATTATTGAAACATAGTGACTCTTCAGATATGAGCGATCTGCTATTTCATTAAGCTAGTTTTAAGAGCAAAAGAAGGGAACACAAATCAATCAGATGAGAACATTTGCATATCAACACGTGTACTTGCAGCAGTATAAAGCAGTAGAAAACAATGAATGCTTGCTCTCACCCAATATAGAAGTAAAAGCAGTTCTCCCAACATTATACCAACAAATCAAATCTTGCTCAATTGCAGGACACAAAAGTGATCTCAGGACAAAACAAAACTAGAGACAGAAAAGATAATGGTAACTAAGAATGAAGATGTCGGTTCATAATAGGCTAACTGCATAGAAAGAAGACGAAGTTTATCTAAAACAGCCATAACCTCCACAGGTACTATGATATCCAACAAACCTCATGATATAAACTTCTTGGGCAAACTCCTTTTGCAATTCTGTGTTCAAGCGCTCAGATTTGAGGATCTTGATAGCTACTTCCTGACTGCAGTATGTACCTTTGTATCTGAAACAATCAGATAACTAATTAAGTTACTCTGAAACCAAAAATGATCATAGATATGATTTAGTCCACAACAAACTTACAAGTCACCATATGAACCAGAAGCAATCTTGTTGCCAAATTTGAGAAGCTGATGATCAATTTCCCAGACATCAACGCCATCACAAGGTATTGTCACAGGATCAAGTTCACATTTGATGAGTGTTTTGTTCTCCTTTCTAAAAGATTCTGATGGACTTTGACTAGGTGAAGATTTCTGCATCGCATTACTCCAATTAAACAACAGTAAAACATGTGGGCACTCAAATTAGCTACACCTCCAGACATTTTTACAACAAATACAAGTAGATCTATGGGGAGTTTCATATGGAAAGAGAACCCAATTAATTAGATTGTAGCATTTCCTACTAATGCAGATTGAAACTTAAAACATATAAACACATAAAATTAGCATAGGAATTCAAAAGCTTGTCCAAATAAAAAGACCACTTCTGACCACTATTAGGTACGAATTTGACCATGGACTAAAAACAAGCCCATTAATAAAACAGGTTTGCCAATTTTTTTTAGCATTTTGATGAAATCGATACATATTCTAGTTTTGAAGCATCAGTATTGGTTGGCTTAACTTAGGTAGGGCAAAACCAGGAGATACCTCAATCTTCAGAATTTCCCTTTTCAGTGCCATTCGAAGCTGCTCAATTTCCTGAAATGAGACCACAGGAAAACAAGCATCCATCAGCATCCTTACCTTTAATTGAGTGATAGAGTTGGCATGTGAACTAAGCATCATGCTACTTGTTCTCTCTTTTTTTTTTAGAATGCTAATAACCGCCACTTATTCACTCTTTTTGGAAGATAGATACTCACTTATGCCAAAACATGGAAATACGACATTGAATATTTACTTAGTAAGCAACTGCAGAAAGTGCCCCATTCCATGAGCCAGGAAAAGCACTTTCTAGACCAGTACTTTCTTCTCCCTAGTTTAGAGATTGAAGATGAAAAGTAATCAAAATTCATTTTTTCAACTAATTACATGAAACAACTGCATAACTTCGGTTAGAGAGATTTATATACTTCATATTCAGGAAAGGACAGAAGAATACAATAAAATGGAGATAAAAGATGCTACATTATCTACAAGTTCTTTGTATTAGGTGAAAAGCTATAATAGGACCTTAAGCTAAGAGCGGATCCAAGTGAAATTTTGCAACAGTGTAAAAGCAACAGAAAATATACCTCATAGGGCCAACCATCAACAACGAAAACATCTAGGGAGTAGCCATCAACAGAGGAAAATACATGTGCTTCCTGGATGTTCAGCCCAAGCTCGGCTAGTAATGAAGTTAACTGTCACACATTGAAGGGATTCATTAATGCTTCACAGTTTTTAAATTTTAGAAGTATGTGAACTAATATAAGCTGCAAAATTTAAAATTTGTAAAATGAAGTCTTCTAGCAGTACCACATGACAATCCAAAAAGAACAGGCAGGCTTTTATGAATTATTGTGTCCCCCAAACCAAGTGTCACCTATGGTTCTTGAAACATCAAGACATAAAACCACAATAGTCTTTACCTTCTAAGATGTTGGTCAAATAACTATATTCCCACCTACCCACCCCACAAAAATCCCAACACCTAGAAAAGGAATCATTAAGATTCAGAAACAATTAAAACTATACATGGTTGGTAGACATTGGTTTTAACAATAGAAATGTGAGCTGGTTTTAACAATAGAAATGTGAGCAGTCTTAACTGTCAAATCCAAAGCTCTCTTCTGATCCCACCTCTACACCGGCATGGGTGTACATTTTCTATCAAACGGACTAGTATGTTGCTAAGTACTATATATCAAACAATAAAGCACATCCAACTACCTGGCTGAGGAGCTTGGGCTTGTCATCAGTTGAAAACGTAATTTCATGCATTGGCCTGTCATAATTATGTACTATGTTTAGTAGTGAGCTCCATAATATAAGCAAAAATGGCATACAGGAAAAGGGAACAGAGTTGAAATGCTCCATCTTGATGAAATTAATGTAGTCATAATTTTCAAATGAGTGATGGTAATGCATACACGCATTACAGTGAATGAGTTAAAAACACAGATTTCGGAAAAACAATGAGAATGATCACAGCAATAATGTGGGTACAGATTATTCCAAGCGTTTTGCGAGTGCCCTCTATGCATCATCATCATGTTATAGGGATAAAATAGTTCAGGACATAAACTAAGATACCAAATTTAAATCTCAAGATCGTATACCGTAACAAATTTCCACAAGTGACAGTAACATCCTCATCTTGAACTTCAGATTTGCTAGCTTCAAGAGCAAGTGCTTCGAGATTAGGGGAAGAACCAAAGGCAGGTAGAGGAAGGACACTACACATTAAGATGGAGGGAACATATTAATATAATCAAATATCGAAGGTTATACTGAAGGAATACTTGAAGGATGCGACAAAGCATCAAATAAACAGTACTAAAAGGCAGTAAATGTCCCATGTGAGACAGTTATTTCAGGTACCTTCGGCTAATTTCCTTGGTTGCAGAGTGAAACGGAACAGGGTCTGCTGAGTTTCCATCAGGAACTGGAGTAACCTGCATAATGCCACATTTGATTCAACACGCAACTCCGAGTAGCTTAAGTTAGAAATGAAGCAAATAACAATGCAAATAGAAGAACAAAAAAGCATGCAATTGGCATTGTTTCAGACGACCCGGTTAGAACGAAACTTGAAACTGAAATTACCTGAAACTTAAAGACTTCATTGGATGCAGATTAAACATTTAAGATGTAGAGCTAAAAGAAGACGATAGAATCTAATTCAATGAAATGTCTGATAAACTATACTCTTCCAGATGCAGATGTTTTACCTTACAAACTCAACCTTTCTATATTCCTACACAGCATGCGTGAACTTATGATAACAATATGCTAACAGCTGAGCTACTAATATTCCATTACTCTAGGAAAATGAACATTTTAGTGGCCATTCATATGACACCACACCGAAACCAAGATTCTATCCTGCAAAAGGAACTAACCTGCACCAGCCGGACATCAAAGGCCGGTCTATTAGCCGGATCATGTGCGAAATGTAATAACCGCTTGTGCGTGAGTACATCTTCTGCACTTTCAACATTCACATCTAACGCGTACCTTAAATGCAGAAAAACAAATTAATCAGTAAGTCAATTGTAAAACTACGCAACAGCTTATTCACAAATTACAATAATTTGCAACTTCCTGCATCCAAACCACACATCTTTAAAAAGTATCTGCAAACCAGAAGAATCATCAACAAAAACAAATTGGCACACTTCATCAAACTCTTATCTCGATCTATAATTTTCACATTCACCAGCTAAACGAAACAAAAATTAATAGCCTCAAAAATATAAACCGGATAAGTACAAATCTCATCAACCATAACCGCACCACAATTGACTCAATTCCCAATAAGCACAAATACACTCGAGATCATATCTTAATATACATATTACTGTAGGAAGATAGTTACCTAGTAGGAAGACGATTAAAGTGAGCCCAAAGCTCATCATCAAAGCCAGGCTGTTGAGCCTCATCGTTATTAGATTCCTTGAGTCTACGAAGAACCTCATTATAAACCTCCAACTTTTTTCTGTGTTGCCGGCTGTTCGCCGGCGCTGAATCCACCACTCTACTACCACAACTCCCCGTATCCTCCATCACCATTTGAGCAACTCTCTCTTCTACAATCTTCTCCAATGTGCCCAAAACTCTAAAACCAGAAATCAAAAATTACCGTAGGAATTATTATATTATATAAAAGGAAAAAATGGCGCAGTGGTTTTGAGGGAGCAATTGATTTGTTTTCTTCTCTATCCAATTCAAGTTTTCTTTGGGTTTAATTAAACCTTAATTAGCATTTGTTTTCCCTTTTAACCTTTGGGCTTTTATAATTATTTTGGTCTCGTGGATATTGTAAAAGAAAAAATATTAATTAGTCTGTACTATGATTAGATAATCTCGAAGAATTAGTGTGTGACAAGAAAAACCGATCACGCTGCCGCATCACAAAAGGTAATACCCCTTGAGTAGTATTAATTGTCACTCCTTATTTTAAAAACGGCCCCATCAACTAGTTCCACCAAAATCAGAGGCAGAGCTAGGTGGGATTCGTGGATTCAGATAAAAAAAAAAAAATTGTAAATTTTGTATTTATATTAAATAAATAAATAAATATATATATATATATATATATATATATAAATTTATGAACTTCTAACAAAATTGATTGACAATTCAATGGTAAAGAAAGGGTGGTAGAAATGCCTCTTAATCCCGACTCCCTTACCAAAATGGAGAAGTACTTGTACCGAAATGGAGAAGTACTTTATAATCTTGGTTCCACCTCCAACTAGGGTGTGCATTGATCGGTTTGGTTTGGTTTTATATGTTATCAATTCAATTTTTAATTTTTAAATATGTTAAATCAATAAGAGATTTTTTATTGATTTTCGATTTATCGATTTTGATTCATAACAGTTCGATTTTCGATTTAACCAATAAGAAAATACTTATAAATTAAAATATATAACTTCTCTAATAAATTTGACGCAACACACAATAATGTAATTAAAAAAATTACAAGTGTAACACAAAAAGTAATTAAGAGGAATAAGGTACTTACTTTAGATTTTGACGTTTTGTATAGTGTGAAGTTGTGAACTTTAGTCACTTTGAAGTGTGAATTGAAAGCTAAATTATAAAGATAGTAACTAGTAAGGTATTGAGAGTAATATATAATATTTATGTACAAGTATATGTAGTAAATTACTAGTCTTAATGAGTTATTAATTTACCCAATATTAAAAATCAATATCGAACCGATAACCCGATAATTTTTTTAGTAAAACCATTAAACAATCGTTAATGCAATAACCCGATAATAATTTTTTGGTTCGATTTTTCACCTTCGACCAAAATAGAGAAGTACTTATTAGTGGAGTTGCTTATCATAGAATCCGCTAAATAATTATACTTAACGATTTGATTTATCAATTATTAGTTTTTAAGTATATTAAATCACTAATTAATTAGTAAAATATCAGTTGATTCGATAATCAATTAGCAATTATCTGATATATAAATTAACTTTTTTACTATGTTAAATGCTTTGGGTTGATTATTTTTTTTGGGCGACATAAAAAAATAGGGCTTTATTGTCATTTTTTATGATTTATGATTCTTGAACATGCGTGAATGAAATTTTCAGATAACAATGATTAATTTATATGACTTGTAAAATGGATCTCCTATTCTTTAAAATGTAGCAAAGACCTTATATATATATATACTTTATAATTTATATTAACTCTTGAAGGTTTTAGCACTTGATTGTGCTATCATCAGATCATGCTTCAGGAGTAAATCATAATATAATATGTACTTTATAATTTATATATCTATAGATTTAATTGTATATATAGTAACTCTTCGTAAGTTAATGACTTTTATCTCATAAGAAAATTGAGTAATCTACTCCCACATCAATAAATCGTTATTTATAAAATTTTAGTCATTTATCTGATAATTCAATATTAATAAGTCAATATTGCAATTGACTTATCAATTACGAATCAATTTTGAACAATCATATATACATATGTGTGGGGGGGGGGGTGTGGGGTGGGGTGTGTGGGGGATGAGTTCAACAAATATATGCTACCTTATATAAGTTGTTCTCATTTACGTAATTAATCAATATTATTTTATCATTTAAATTATATTATTTTCGTTTTAATTTGCTATCTTACTTTTTTTTTTTTAAAAATCGTTTTTAAAAAATATCTTTTTTTTAACAACTCTTTAATTTCAACTTTCCATTTAAAGAATTCAATGGTATAATAATCATTAGAAACGTACAACAAAAGAAGCAAATTATTTATGTATTAATTTTTTATATAAATTATTTAATGTTTGGTAGCTAATTAGGAAATAAGTTATTATAATTTATGTATAAAAATAATAAGATGTTTGATTTGTAATTTAGAAACTCGCATAACAAATATATATTTATATATATATATATATATATATATATATATATATATATATATATAAAGCTTTAAATGATTTAACTCCTTTATTTCTTTACATTCATCTTGAGTATATTTTTATCTATTGCAATCCTTTCATTCAGTTATTTCACTTCAGCTATATTACATACTCGTACATTCAAATGTATTGATGTCATTCGGCCTGCATCTTTTATTTTATGATGCTGACACAGGTGTTCGAGATCATCAACATGTGCTTTGTTGAGATCACTCAATACTCTATCTAACTTTTGGTGAGCCTCCTTGTATTCCGGAGGACTTCACATTTACTTTCTAGTTAGTAGTTTTGAGATGTCGTGGGTCTTCCTGACATCCTTCTTTAATAGTAGAAGCTTCATAGATAGATAGAGTCGAGGAGTCTCTCAGTACTTTCTTTCCTTTAAAGATGTTTTGCAAACTATTATAATTACTGCAATGAGTACTTTCAGATATTCGGGTTGAGTTTTATTTTGATTCTATTTTAAGGCTATATTTGCTTGAATGAGTCTTCCGCTAAGTAGTCAGTCAGACCAAGTGTTCGCTTGGGGATCAAAAATGGTTCTCGAGTGCCGGCCACGTCTAATGTATAGGCTCGGGGCGTGACATCTTATATCTAGGTTACAGAGGTTGTTCGCATCAATGAATTTCACTCCTCATATGAGTAGGCACCACAAAAATAGAAGGTTACCTGGTGTTATGTATCATCCATCGGAAGGAGAAGTTTAGAAACATTTTGATAGCTTTTATACTGAGTTTGCTATTGAAAAAAAATGTTCTATTGGAATTGTGTGTAGATGATTTCACACCTTTTTTTATTTCTACTCCATCCTATTCTTGTTGTGTATTATTTTCATTCAAGATGTGTATGACAAGTCCCTACATATTTTTAAGTTTATTGTCCCAAATTGCCCCCACAATCCAAAGGTTTAATTGACGTTTATTTGTGCTAATTGATAGACGAATTAAAATAATTATGATTTGAAGGTGTATAGATGTAACGACCTCATGATTATGCACTTTTCGACTTTTTGAGCTAAGGAACGACTCCCAGACGACTCCTACTCATTTTTCACAATTCTTGATGCTAAATGTAAGTTTTTCACTCCCCGAATCCGTTTTTCGATCCGTAGAACGTAATAGAATGGGTGAATATTGATGGGGGAGGGTTTTGTTATAGATTCTATGGTGGAAACAACCCTAATTTGAATAATTGAGATCATGGGTATGATCTAGGGTTCATAGAATTGTTAGTAATTCGAGTAATTAATGATTGTTTATTGATTCCCATATTATATTGATTGTTTGTAGACCAAGAACAAGCGGAACGAATCCGGAAAGGGAATGATCAAGTTTCTTAGGGTTTTAAGCTTGTTTCGAGGTAGGTGATGGTTGTGATTTCATGATTGTGTGATATATACTTGTTCTTGCTTCATTATGATGCATATATGCATGTGAATGTTGCATTGCTGATCACACTAATTGTATGAGTATGAACGAATAATTGTATGCCATGAATCACTTCTTGATTGTATGACTATTGAGAATATACTTGTGATTGTGATTGTGGTGTGTTAAATGGATCGGTTGCCACGTTCTGGCATAAACATTGGATCGGATACCACATTCCGACATAACTAACTTGGATCGGTTGCTACGTTTCTGCATAAAAAAGGGATCGGTTGCCACATTCCGGCATAAAAATGGGATCAGTTGCCATGTTTCGGCATGATTATGCGATCGGATACCACGCTCCGGTATGCTAATTGTTTGGGTTTGGATTTCATGAGAGGACCATTGAATGAGGTTCCGTGAGAGGACCATTGAATGAGGTTCCGTGAGAGGACCATTGAATTGTGTTATGAATCTACTTGTGATGAGTTCATTCATATCTAATGATGATTGATATTGAAAGACGGTATGTTGCTCTAAATTTATATAATTGTGATATGTGAGAATCGTGAAGTTGTTCATTGTTCGTATATGTTGATGATATTGTATATGTTCGATATGGGCATGTGATTATATTGTTGTATTGACTAATGTATGTTACACTTAGTGGGATAGCCGCGTGATCCTACCAGTACACGGTGGTTGTGTACTAATACTGCACTTGCTCTTATTTTTGTTGAGTATAGGGCATCTTCCGGCGGCTATTGACAGACCTCGTTTAGAAGATCAGTGATCACCGATTCAAATTCAAGGGTGAGCCAGTTCTTCCGGGCTACCTCGAGTTCTCTTTTTGTCTAGTCCATCATATTCGGACTTAGACTAGTTCTTTAGATGATTTTCTCGTTTAGACTTATGAATCTTGTTAGAGTTTTGGTACATTGACTTTCAGGTTCTAGGGGTTGAATTTCCGCATTAGTTTGGTTAGTTATTTGTTTAAACCTTGGAGTTTATGGGAACTCTATATAATTTCTGCACTTAAACCTGCTTCCGTATCTTTAAATGCGTAGTATTTGGTTAAGTTGTTAGATTTGGGTTGTAGTAATGGTTCTCCCACCGGAGGGTTAGTGTGGGTGTCAATCATGATGGTCTGGGTCGTGACAATAGACATATATATGACATCTATTAACTAAGTAGAATTTCATTTTGTGTGCTTCTTTATCGTAGACTATTAATCATTTTTCGCGTATGAGATATTATTTAGTTGGATGACTATCGAAAAATTATTGTATCCTTATTACATGAAAAATAGTAAAACATTCAATTTAAAATATGATCATAAAAATTCATTGGTTAATTGTCACCATCCATTATTGCTAATGAAACATGATTAGTTTTAAAAAATGAAATAAACATTAAAAATATAAAATTTAAAATGATTTGTCAAACTCCAACATTGTCGGGAGAGAAAAATTGTCAA